AAATAGGTGCTACCGCCTCCTTTAGAACGTGGCATAACTACTACGTACATATCCTGACCAGGTATGGTAAAAATAATAGATCTATCAAAACAATCAACTTGGGCATGGTGGTGAGACAACCAATCCATCCCAAGTATCACGTCATAAGTGTGCATGTCCAGGACCAATAGATTGGCTAGAAAGCTGAGTCTGCCAATATCTAGTGTCACAGGCCCATCACTCTCATGTATAATAGCTGTATCACCCAATGGTGTAGAAATACCCTGTGGTCTAGTGCATACCCTCGTCCTCATCCCAGATAAAGCAACAAAAGTCCTAGCTACAAATGAGTGTGTAGCACCCGTATCAAATAAAACACGTCCATGTAAACCATGAATAGGAAACTTACCCTCAATAGTCTGAGGTGCCTGAACATCCTGTGGCTTGGGGTTATACACCCTGCCATAATGCAACTGCTGTGGCGCCTGTCCCTGAGTTTGCGGCGGTGCCGGTAAAGCCAGATGTGTCTGTCCCTGAATCCGTGGAACCTGTGGAGCTGGTAGAGGCACTGGCGCCCTCTGTCCCTGCTGCACATATTGTCCCTGTCTCTGTCCCTGTCCTGCTTTAGGACACTGCCTGGTGGTATGACCATACTCTCCACAAGTGTAACAACTACCCTGGAAAGTACCAAATGGCCTCGTCGGTCGGTTAGCCTGTGGCTGACCCTGCCCTGCCTGTGGTCCCCCATTCTGTTGCCTCTGAATAGGTGCCCCATTCCGATGAGCATCTGAACCACCCTTGTGCTTCTTCCAAGGCTGTTGCCCTTGGAACTTGCCTTTGTCATTCTGCCGGTGACCATTGCCATTCCCCTTTTCAGCTGACTGATTAGTAGAGTCTTTATCTCCCCGCTTCTCACCACGAGCCTGTCTGATGTCCACAGTCAACTGATACTGTTGTAGAGCGGCGTCTACCACCTGAGCATAGGTCGTATAGGCTGGACTACCTGTAATAGCTCTCTTGATAGACCACATCAGTCCTTTGACAAAACTGTTGCGCTTCTTTTCCTCTGTATCCACCTCCTCCGGTGCAAAGAGAGACAAGCGTGTGAACTGCTGCTCATACTCCGCCACTGTCATGTTTCCCTGCTGCAGACTTAGAAACTCGGTCTTCATAGCTGCCCTGACTGCATAGGGAAAATATTTCTCATCAAAGCGAGCACTGAACTCATCATAAGACAATGTCATCCTCTCATCTGAGGTGGTAACTGACTCCCACCACTGTAGTGCATCCCCAACTAACTTGAAAGTAGCAAGCATCTGCTTCTGAACCTCCGTGCACTGAACCAAACGAAGATGACGCTCAATGTCCTGTTTCCACTGGTGAGCTGCTCTCGCATCGGTTGAGCCTGAGAACACAGGTGGACTCCCCTTTGTGAAAGCGCTCCTAGCCTTTCCCCAAGAATCCGTCTGAACCACTGGTGCTGGTACAGGTGCCTGCTGAACCTGTGGTTGGTTTCGGAGTGCAGCTGTTACCCCAGCCTCTATAGCCCGAGCAACGAGGTCATTGAGGTGAGGAGGATTCTCTGGATCTCTGTCCCGACCCTGAGTCTGTTGAACTTCCTCCTGCTCCTCCTGAAACCCTGGCATTTGCTGCTCTTCTTCCATTTGCTGACGCTGTAGGAGATATTGTCGCCTACGTGCCGCTCTCCTTTCCTTCCTAGTTCCTTGCATGTTCTGTCCATTTCTAGCGTTAACCATCTGTTAACACGAAAAGACAGACATCAGTACTATTTCTATACGAACCATAAGGAATACAATGAATCCTAACTTAAGCTCTATTCAAGAGAACGCTACGCGGAAGACTTAATATGAAAACATCCTAGAGACACTTGAACCTGGAGTGCTCTGATACCAACTGTGATACCCCTCGGATCCGAGACACGGGTTGATCAGGCCCAGGCCCAAACCCGAGGGAGTATCAAACAATTAATATTTTATAGCGAACACAGAATACAAAATGAATTAAGAAATGAAAGTTTAAAGCTGAAAAGAACTAAAAGATAATCCTTAAATAATTAAATACTTAAATTTGATAAACCAAATATCCATAATTTGAACAACTCGGGAATCCATCTCTAGTGGACCCCCAATAAAAGTCTCACACTAATTGAAAGTAAAATAAAAGATAAAACCCAAATCCAAGATCTGGAAAGAAACCCTACATCTTCGGTAGAATGGAAGATCGTCTCTGCTCTGCACGAACAAGCTCAAGCCTGGAACTGACGTACACCTGAAAAATAGGAGTGGGTCAGGCCCACGAACAAGTTCTAACCTACTACAATCCAAGCAGAGACTTGATACGCATGTACATACTAAATAGTTCAACAATAACTAATAATCCGTACATAAATATATCCACACTACTGGACTCTCGCTAGGCCATGAAGGGGGTCTCAACCTGGATAGAAGGCATTACACAATACGCACCTGAGTGGGTATGAGTACCTAAACCTAAACAGGGTATACCTCAACCTTCACAGTCAGCTACACATCCAACTGCATATACGCACCCTAACCGTCGACACTGAGACTCAAGCTCATGACACGGTAACATAAAAATATATCTAAACTCCGTTTCTATCCATCCACAAGAAATCCAGTAAGTCACTCGGCGTAGCCAACCGTACCGACTTATATATATAAGGAGGATTGTAGTTTATAACCCGTGCCCTTACTCCAAAATAGGTAGGACTTAGTAATTTGAGCTAATCCAAACCCAGTATGTCACCGTCCCATACCGGTACATACAATCCAATCCGTCCAATAGTTGATATAGCATCGATAATTATAATAGCAATATCAACAATTCCATACTAAACACAAGAGAATGCATTAGCAATCATTCTTAAAAATACCAATAATTGATTCACATTGAAAATATAAATATCAATGTTAACTACTCCTTACTATGCATATTGACATAGATAACCAACCTGCTTATTTACATTCACAGTTGACAAAATAATGACCATATAAATGTCAATACCAACAGTTCCAAACTAAACATGTTAGAACAGATTAACAAACATGCTTAAGCAAACCAATTCAGAATCCATAATTTGATCATACAGGGCTTTATTTATAACGATGACCTATTCCTAGTTTCCATAGAATTAACAGAGCCTAAATAGATATTTTTCCACTCACATCTATAGCATGCAGAATAAATATAAATAATCTATTACGCTTATAGTTTCCTGTCCAACAACTTGCCGCACTAACCGTTAAATTTAATCACCAACTAATTCTCAGTGAAATATAAATTTTTAGCATAGTTTTTATTGTCATGAACATATAATTCGAGTGGACAAGCTCTCACAGAAAATTTCTAATATAATTAAGAAATTAGAAACTCCAAATCTACACAGTCTACAAGACCTTCGTAATTAACTCCATGTAATCATAATGGTTAACGCTTTGTGTCCAATTTTATATAATCTGGTCTTTGCATATTTATGTTTACCCTAGACCACTCCTAAATCACCCATTACAGTATTCATTCACCAATAAACACATTAAAACAATCACTAGGAAGCCTAATCACTGAAAAAATTTGGAAAAATAACCCACAGAATCAAAACTCACGCATAAACAACCGGGAGCCGGCTCCAGAATATTGGAGCCGCCTCCAATGGCCCTGGAGCCGGCTCCTAGACCATGGGAGCTGCCTCCAGTCCAAGGGGAGCCGGCTCCAATCCAATAGGAGCCGGCTCTCCCCCTCCTCTTCTTCGTGTTCTCCTCTCCGGTCGCCGTTTACGCCTCCGACACTTCACAGTAGAAGGTTTCAGAGAGTTTCAATTAATCCTAGAAGATTCCAGTCCTTAACTCAGTCCTTATTATGCTACTAATATGGATTAAACCAAGAATTAAATAAGACAGTTCAAAGTTAAACAGTTTACAAGTTTTAAACCAAATTCAGTTTCAGCTACACTCTAAGCATGACACAGACAACGTCTTTTATTTTTAAACCTGTAATTCATCCTGGAACCATTGAGTATGCAAAGAACACGAGTATAAGGGAGAGAGTACGGTTAGAACTTGCCTTGTGAGATTTTTGTTAAAATCTCTACGTTGTCGTCTACACTCGCCGGCGACTCCTACTGCAACTTCCTCTGTTCCTCGTTTCTAATTCCACAGACGTGTTTTGGTTGTATTATTTTGTTCCCTAAGCAGACTTATCTTATATATATATAGGCAACCAAAACCCTAAATCCAATTATACCTACAGTCTGAAACGAGGCCCATAACTCAACCTAGGTTATAAACCTTGTCGGCTCCTTAAATAAACCTAAACCTAAACAGAACTAAAACCCTAACCACACTTTTATACCTAGTCACAAATTAAAACATGTAATTACTAAGTCAACAATAAAAATTCCAAGTTAACTACTAATTCAATTAACGAAACAAATAAAAATTCCAAGTTAACCGTAAAACAGAAAATAACATACAATTTACAGAGAATTAAAGCCAAATAAATAATTAAAACAATTAACTTAAATAATCACAATTACTGTAAATAATTCAAATAATTAATTAACCCAAAGAAAACAAATAAACTAACTCATTAACTCAAATAACATAAATAAGTCAACTAAATCAAATCATTAAAAAGTCAATTAAAATATAATTCAAAACCATTAATGAACCAAAAATAATTAATGAACAGAAAACAATTAAAATATAATTCAAAACCATTAATGAACCAAAAATAATTAATGAACAGAAAACAATTAAACAAATTACCGACCATTAATGAACCAAAAATAATTAATGAACAGAAAACAATTAAACAAATTACCGAGACTATCCTTTTAAAATTAGGGGTATTACATGAAGGATTGTCCATAACGGGGCAGTAGTTCAGACAAAGGTGGAGGTTCACAGCAGAGGCAGACACAGTCTGCCATAGTTCAGTCAGGGTTTTGACCGCCACCTCCACCTCAGCCATCTCAGCCAGCTATGATAGTCCAGAGTTCTCGGCCAGGCAGAGGGTCTTCTTCGAGTGTTCCTACTCAACAGTCTGGTTATCAGACAGATGGTTCTCAGGGGCAGAGGACCCAGGGTCGTGTTTTTGCACTCACTCCAGCCGAGCCATCATCCAGTCCTTCAGTTGTCAGGGGTATGTTTCTTGTGTCCCATTCTTGGGCTAGAGTGTTGCTTGATTCTGGTGCCTCTTATTCATTTATAGCTTCATCATTTGCACGGGCATTGGGTTTGGAGGTCAGTCAGTTAGACAGATCGCTTTGTGTTGACACGTTTATTGGGGGTTCAGTCACTCTTGGAAGAGTTTATAGGAGTTGTTTTACTACCATTGCCGGCCAGATTCTTGAGTTCGATCTCATCCTTCTCGAGATGACAAGGTTTGACGTCATTCTTGGGATGGACTGGTTGTCTTCCTTCAGGGCTGTTATCAATTGTTTCAGGGGTAGAGTGTCAGTGTGTACCCTGGATGGGGATTGCTTCTGTTTCGTGGGGGATCAGTATGATTCATTTACTCCTTCATTTTACGGCATTAGAGGTTGGGATCGGCAGACTTTTTTCTTGGCTAGCCTTTTTGCCGATGACGATGTTGAGTTTGGTGGGGCTGATTATCCAGTGGTTGTGTGTGATTTTCTGGATGTGTTTTCAAAGGACTTGACTGAGTTGCCTCCACACCGAGAAGTAGAGTTTGCTATCGATTTGATGGCTGGTACAGCGCTAATTTCTATGACACCGTATCGTATAGCACCGATTGAATTGGAAGAATTAAAGAAGTAGCTTGATGATTTGAAAGTGAAAGGCTTCATCCGATTGAGTGTGTCACCGTGAGGTACACCGGTCTTGTTCGCTAAGAAGAAAGATGGTTCTTTGAGGTTGTGCATTGATTACCTGAAGTTGAATCATGTCACTATCAAGAATAAGTATCCTTTGCAAAGGATAGATGATTTGTTTGACCAGTTGAAGGGGGCGAGTTGTTTTTCAAAGATTGACCTGAGGTCAGGCTATTACCAGTTGTGAGTTAAGGATGAGGATATTCCAAAGACAGCGTTCCATACATGGTATGGACATTATGAGTTCCTTGTTATGCCTTTTGGCTTGACTCATGCACCAGCAGCATTCATGGATCTAATGAACCGTGTCTTCCACGATTACTTGGACCAGTTTGTGGTAGTTTTCGTAGATGACATACTTGTGCACTCACTGACTTAAGAGGAACACGGAGTCCATTTGAGTATAGTGTTGTAGATTCTACGGGTGCACTGTTTGTATGCCAAATATAAGAAGTGTGAATAGTGTGAGTTTTAGCTGCAAGAGGTGAAGTTTTTGGGACATATTGTCTCGGAAGGTGGAGTATTGGTCGATCCATCAAAGATTGAAGCAATTCTAAATTGGGAGTAACCCAAAAATGTCTTTGAGATCCGGAGTTTCCTTGGCTTAGCGGGTTATTATTAGAGATTCGTGAAAGATTTTTCCCGTTTGGCGGCTCCTATAACCAGATTGACCCGAAAAGGGATTAAGTTTGCATGAAATGAGGCATGTGAGTCTTCTTTTCAAGAGTTGAAGACAAGGTTGACTACAGCTCCAATGTTGGTGATACCCAAGCGTGGCTTGGGTTATGTGATTTATTGTGATGCTTCACGCGATGGCCTGGGTTGTGTGCTGATACAGGATGGTAGAGTAGTGGCTTATGGGTCTCGACAGTTAAAGACTTACGAGCTTAACTACCCTACTCATAACTTGGAGTTAGCGACAGTTATGTTTGCCTTGAAGTGTTGGAGACACTATTTGTATGGTGAAAGATTCGAGGTGTTCTCGGATTACAAGAGCCTTAAGTACCTTTTCTCCCAAAAGGACTTGAACAACAGATAGAGGCGATGGGTTGAGTTTTTGGAAGACTATAACTTTGATTTGTAGTATCATCCGGGTAAGGCAAACGTGGTAGCTGATGCTTTAAGTCGAAAATCTCGTGGGACTTTGGCTAGTTTAGCCATTTGGAAGTGGAAGATGCTTGAAGATTTAGCATAAATAGGATTATATTGCTTTGATGTTGATGATAGTGAGTCAACATTCTTGTTTAGTCTCGTGGCCCAACCCCCTCTCGTCAAACGGTGATTGAGTCACAGAGACAGGATTCGGATTTAGATGCCATTCACACTTTAATCTCCAGTGGTGAGACAATGAAGGATTGGACCTTACATGCAGACGAAGGTCTACGGTTCAAGGGTTTTGTTGGTTGTACCCATAGTTTGCCGCGAGGACATCTTACGGGAGTTTCATACTTCCCGTTTTGCAGTTCAACCAAGTGGTACCAAGATGTATCACAATTTGAGACGTCAGTATTGGTGGAATAGGATGAAAAAGGACATTGCACAGTTTGTGGCTAAATGCCTTACCAATCAGCAAGTGAAGGTCGTGCACCAAAGACTAGCTGGTTTAATGCAGCCATTACCGGTAGTGCAGTGGAAATGGGAGGAAATTACTATGAATTTTGTGACATGTCTTCCAAGGTCACGAAAGGGAAACGAGGCCGTATGGATCATCATTGACAGATTAACCAAGACGGCTCACTTTTTGACTATAAAGGCAACGGATGACGCGGAGGCACTTAGTGTGCTATATGTGAAGGAAATTATGCGGTTGCATGGAGTTCCAGTAACCATTGTTTCAGATAGGGATGCCAAATTCACTTCGAAGTTCTGGGAAGGACTTCAAGTAACGTTTAGTTCATCATTGCACCTTAGTACGGCATTCCATCCACAGACGGACTGCCAATCGGAGCATACCATCCAGATCTTAGAGGATATGCTTCGGGCATGTGTTCTTGATTTGGGAGGTAGTTGGGAGGATCACCTTCCACTTATTGAGTTTGCCTACAACAATAGTTATTAGGCAAGCATTGAGATGGCTCCATTTGAGGCGTTATACGGTAGACCTTGTAGATCTCCTGTTTGTTGGACTGAGGTGGGCGAGACAGCCGGCTTAGGACCTGACATTGTACTCGAGACTACTGAAAAGATTAAGTTGATCAGACAGAGATTACTTACAGCTCAGAGCTGATAGAAAAGTTATGCGGATAGGCGAAGACGACCGCTATCCTTTGAGGTGGGTGACTATGTCTTCCTTCGGGTTTCTCCAAGAAAAGGATTGATGAGGTTCGGGAAAAGTGGCAAGTTATCGCCACAGTTCATTGGACCTTTTGAGACTTTGGATCGTGTAGGGGAGGTGGCTTATAGGCTTACCTTACCACCACAGCTGGATAGAGTCCATAATGTTTTCCATGTATCGATGTTGCGAAAGTATGAGCCAGATCCGTCTCACATTATCGATTGGGTTGATGTGGACATTAATGAGAATGTTTCCTATGAGGAAGGACCAGTTCAAGTCCTCGACACTCGGCAGAAGGAGTTAAGGGACAAGACAATATCATTAGTGAAGGTCCTTTGGAGGCATCACAGAGTCGAGGAGGCTACTTGGGAACTCGAATAGGAGGTTTGCTCCAAGTATCCAACGTTGTTTTCTTCTCCAGATACGATTCAATTTCGGGGATAAAATCCTTTTAAGTCGGGGAGATTGTAATATTTTTGAATTTCGTCATTTTTTATTTTTCTAGAATTTTTCGTTATATGTAAGGGCATTTTTGTCTTTTCTCATTTAACGTACCGGATACTGTCGAGTGTGCTGGTTGTGTCTGAGAGTGGATTGGGGCATTTCAATGAGTTCAGGACTCTTTGAAATGCAAGGTTCGTCATTTTTGCATTTTTTTCAAATCGGACAGTTCCGTGTGGGACCCGCTACCAAAATTGTCGTGTGCAGGGCTTATGGTAGGGTTCATTTGCATCTCATTTGATTATATAATGTGCTATGTGTGGTTGTAATTTATTATGTGTGTGTGTGTGTATATATGTGGTGGTGTGGTGTAAAAAAAAAAATTATTTAAAAAGGTAGGGCCCACATATTTTTTTAGAAAAAGGGTGAGAGGCCAATTTTTGGCCTCACTTTTCATTTCTATTTCTCTCTCTCCCGTCCACAATCTCTCTCTCTCTCTTATTCTTTTTCTTTTTCTTTTTACTTAAAGCTTTGAATCATGGTTTCTCTCTTATTTTCGAGAGATGTTTTATGCCATTTGTGGAAAATTGAAGAGCACACCGATATCTACGTTTTAATCGGAGCCAATCTTCATTTAGCCACCAATTTGGGGATCTCAAAATCCTAGGGTGATAGGATTGTGCGCCAATTAAGGCGATTGTGGATCATTTAATTTTTAAACCCAGTGAGGGCAATATTGCCATATAGGCACCTTTTTTCTTTTGACGAGTAATGGATTGTTGTGACTGAGGTCACGAGCCTTGTGTGCACGGTGTTCAAGGCAGTATCACCCGGGAAGGTAGAGATTGAATTGGTGGTAAAGTGTCATTTTATAGCATATAAGTTATCATTTGGGAGTGACAGGTTCCAGATGGAACGGGACACGGTGTCCGAAGGGCTGTGCTTATCTCTAGTGTTAGTATACGGTGAGTGTTGATGCTCTTATTTAATGGTTGTATTATGGGATATACCCTAGTGCTTGATGAATGGGTGGTATGGGTTTGATTGGTTTTGGCTAGTATAAGTATTGCGGAGTAATGTATGCGAGATTCCGGTATCGATAGTGTATGACGGTCCGTTAGTGGTGCGATCGCCTAGATTTGAGTTCATAGTTCTGTACGAGTACCCAGTTGGTTCTTCTCCTTGTATATAAGGAGTTCAGTTCATCTCAGGTGAGATTGGGTGTCCATAGTTGGATGATTGGTGAGTAGCGTGTGACAGGGTGTCAGGTGCATTCAGGTACGAGTTGTTAGTCTTTTGTGAGAGCGGGGTTCGTTACCCTTTCCATTTGTTTTGGTCCTGACAAGGACGTCATCTGTCATAAGTCTTGTTCTCCATTTAGGAGTTGTACGCATCCGAAGACGGGCGGACCCATGTGTGGTTTGCTATGCGGTCAAAGTTCACCGGTAAAGGTTTAGTTGTATTGGTCGACTCACTCCCACAGAGGGAGGTGGAGTCCTAGGTTTTAATAATGCTTGTTCTGAGAGTGATCTTGACCGGTGGAGTGTGAGGCACGAGTTGCCGAATAGGGATTGTGTGTTCCTAGTGTATGGTACTAGCAGTGTTGGCTATGGGATATGTTGTGAACTGTAAATTCAAGGATGGTTAGGCGATGTGATGTGAGTCATATACTCGGATATTTTTATAGATGTTTGATTTGAGCAGTGTCTTTAGGACAAGTGTCAATGTCGCCTTAGAACTTCGTGATTAGAGAAAGTGAATGTGGGATTCCGTTGAGGAATAATGGGAAAGATTGACTTTGGTTTTGAGATCTCAGGTATGAGATAGTCGCATTATGTGTTTTGATAAGGTAATAATTAAATCGAGTAATGTTATGGAGTTGTTTACTTAGTTTGGGTATTATGAAGAGATTAGGGAGCGTGTAGGCTGGTCGATGATTATGGTATTTAATGTCGTGTTGCTTTTAACTTGTTATGGGTTGTGTGATTAAGGCATGATTGGGATTTTTAGAGCAAGTATGTGACTATATAGTTGTTGAGGTTACGTAGAATAGTGGATGGATAGTGAGTGGATCTCATAGTTATTTTGTGGACTGTGTGAGAGTGTGTTTGGGATTTAAACTTGAGAACGGGAATGACGTCTGCGTTGAGACTGGATCGATGATGAGAATGGCCTGGCCAATCATTTCTCCTGAATTAGTCCCTCTTTAGCACGATGTCTAGTCAAAAGTC